TCTGTTTTTGGGGCGTGGTTTTTTTTTTTTTTTTTTTTTTTTTTTTTGGTCTGAAGAGCAAGGGAGGTGAAACTATTGTCCAGCCAGATTATTGGGTGGCATCTGAGTGTTGTCAGTTAACTAAATGACTTTATTAGCAGAAAACTGGCACTGTTTTCCTGCTTTTAAGCTGTTTGGGGCAACATTAAATAAAGCTTATGGGCAAGGCAACAGTTATCAACGAAAGACTATTCCCTGGCATCGGTGTTTTGTCAGTTAGATGCAGGGTTGAACCTGCTGCTTTAAGCTCACTAGTATCTCGAGAGTCTTTCGGACCTTAATGTGTGAGACTGAATCTTTATTCTATCTCTGGCCAAACAGTTGGAATAAAAGTAAAAGTGGCTGCTTCAGTCAAAAGGTATTTGTCCCCCTCAAAGCTAATACTTAATTATATTTCTGCAGGTGTATGTAATGTGTGCCATTAGTAAGGTAATTTGCCAGTTGCATCCATTTCTGTCAGGTACATACTTTTTTTGCATTAGTCCTTAAGGATGTTTGTGGAATTATTAATTATTCAATTTGAAATTTTAAAAAAGTACTGTTTTTTTCTATTCATGTCGTATGTAACTATTGTTTTTTATTTTTAGTAGCTCTATAAATCAGTCAGCAGACAGTGGAGGAACTGACAACTTTGTCCTCATAAGTCAGCTGAAAGAAGAAGTAATGTCACTTAAACGTCTTCTGCAGCAAAGAGATCAGACTATTTTAGAAAAAGATAAAAAGGTAAAAGTTGCACCTGCTTAATAAGAACTTTATCATTTTGTTTTCTATTTTGTAGACTCCTAACAATGGCGAGATAAAACAAAAAGCGGATAATTTTTTTATATATATAGCAGTTAATCAGATCTTCCCATTTAAAGGACAAGTTTGGGACTTCTGTGTCATGAATATATTTTGGCTTTAAGTCAAAGAGGAATTCATCTTACCTCACTTCAGCCATCTAGAAACTAGCCATCTGGTTCACTGTTACTCAGGCTGCGTGCCACAGGTGATGGATAAAATGCCAGACAGTGGTTTGTATGTTTTACATATTCCAAACTGAGTCACGGCAAAGATCCCGGATACCTACATAGGCTGGTGGGCACACAAGGTAAGAGGAGGATTAGGTGTAGTAACCATTCTGAGTTTAGCATAGTTTTTGTTTAGTTTTAAACTGAAGCACCTATAGCCATAATTAACGAGTTGGTGTCCAAATTTACACGTACAGTGTATGAAAATTAAGTGTTTTGATTTTAAAGGATGGTACCATATGTGTAGTGTAGGTTATCAAGTCTTTGTGGATGGTCAGAGACTAGAAGAAAAGCTTGGATTAGATGCCTGGCAGTCAACAAAAGTTAAGCGAAATAGTCGGGCCCAAATAGCTGCAGTGAAACTCATACAAGAGATTCACCCTTCAAACAACCTGATGACTAACAAGAAATGAGAAATAACTACAAATACGTACTTTGCTCTGCCTTTATTAGAGCTTATTTCTCTGCCATCTGATTGACTAGATGCTTTTAAGACGCTGTCTGTAACAGTGGCTCTAGAATGTCTGCTCAGGACTGAGTAGTTACGAAATTGTATTAAAAATAAATTTACTATGTTTTCAAGTAAAATTTTGACTACGAATGCATGGTGGCCTATCAAAACACTGATGGTTAAGAAAGCTTCATTGATCCTGAAAGGAAAATGTATCCACTTTTACACTGTAGTTCAGTATCTTCATTTCTACAGTTAAAAGTGTTGTGTAAAGGATACTGAACCTTTTTTCATTTATATCACTGTTATAATATACCTAGTGTTGGAAGTACTTCCTATTTCAAGCCTTTAAGCAGTTAATGTGAAAGAGCTGAACAGTCTGTCATGGATTCTCTTTAAGTATTTTCTTCAAAGGACAGACATTAAGGCCCTGATCTCTCTCTTATAAAGCCAGTAGAAGATCATGAGTCAGTAGGAAATTCACTTATCTCTTTTTATATTTGATCTATGGGGCAAAGCTAACAAAAGGGTTAGGTAAGGAAATATCACCTACTTATGCATAACCGCTGCAGTAACTTGTTTTGTGCTGTTTCCATAGGGAGAACATCTAATAATTGTAATATCCCCACTGCTAAAACTATTTATTTGACCTCAGAGTTCTTTGAACTTAAAGACTCCTTCAGGGATGAATTACTCACTTTCAGAATGTTACTTGCTTTCTTCAGCTGCTGGGGGGGAGAGAAAAGCTGAACACATGGTACAATGTTTGCATAGCTGAGAAATTTACAACAAATGAATGCACTGCAGGCTTTTTTTGACTGCGAGGTAGTAAATGTAAAGACATGTACTGGGGTAAAAGCCTGAGCCAGGCCTGCGGGAGATTCCTGTTAAGATCGTGTCCCAAGATCTGTGTAGGGACAGCATTTGAACAGTTTGGAGCGCTCCAAAAGAAAAACCTCTGTAATGTATAACGTATGGCAACAAAAACAACTCAGTACACCAGCTTTACAGACAATCCTCATTCATCATTTTTTTTGTTGCAAGTCAAGATCTCAGCCGTGTCATTTCCAGTGCTTATTGTTTGCAGCACTAGCCTTGTTTTGCTTTCTGGACAAAGTGTTAGTGAGACACCAAGACGTTACCGTGGGGCCCTGAGACTTGATCATTAGGAAGGGACCACAAGTTGCTGAGTGTTCACAGGTAGTGTGTTTGCTCATCTAGTTGCATGCTTTACTATGGTGCAATACTACCGCTAGGTTTTTTTGATATTTAGTTTGTGGTATGTGGTTTTGTACTGGATCTCCTGGAATTTACGACAGCTGTAAGTACACACCTTGTGCAACAGTCTGTGTGCAGTCAGGTATATATCCTTGTATCAAGATACCTGCACTTTATTTAGGACCATTTGATTGGCAGTTCTTTTGAATACCTTGTTTCACTACATGCGATTGGACACATACTAAGGTTGGTAATAGCGGTCTTGGTAGTCATTTTAGGAATGTGTGCTCTGGTTTGTTATAGCGGGCTTCTTTGCTAGCAAAGAGACTTCATTTCCTGATAAATCCAAATTGACCAGAGAGGTTCAAAACAGCCAGGCGAATCTGGGTTGCTTTGAGGAACGAAACTTTTTAAAGATGTGGTTCCTGAAACTTCTGGGCCCATACACAGCAAACTGTTAGTGGTTCACCCAGCTGCACATGCTTCCAAAAGAAGCATTCAGCTGCTTGGATAGAAGCATGTATCACCTGCCTTAGTGTGTGTCATCTGGATCTCTGCCTGTCTCAGGAGAGACCCAGTGGCAGCACTACTACACCACACAGTCAGAATTAAATCAGAAGTTAAGTCGTTTTAATTACACATTTCTAATGACACAGTTTAATTCACTGTTGTGGATCGAGAAGCAGTGAAACTCTGGCATGTATACTTCTCTTTAGGACAAATTGTAGTATAAAAAGACTCAAAGGAATCCTTTCCGTTTTCTTCGTACGGGTGATTTTTCATGTGTTACCATACTGTATAACTGAAGAGAGATAACTGAAGATTGTGATAAGTGTTTCACAGCTGAAAACAGCTAAGATTATAAATCATTAGTCTTGTATTTGATTTTTTTCTTTTTTGTTGAGGATTAACCTTATTTATACCAAATCCTGAGCAAACAATATGATTATATAAGTACAGTTGTTTTCTTCATATAAAATAGACATACTTTTCAAGCTACTTCTCAAGTGCTGAGCTGTCAGTACTACAATAGTAAACAAATATAGTGTTTCCTGAGATTCCTCAGGCTTCCGTAAAGACTTCACAGATTGATTAGAAGATGTATACTGTAGCAGTCCAAGGAATCTTCATACAATTTGTGTTTTCAGTTGACAGAACTGAAGGCAGACTTCCAGTACCAGGAGTCTAACTTGAGGACAAAGATGAACAGTATGGAGAAAGCTCACAAGGAAACTGTGGAACAGTTGCAGGTGAGTAATTGCTAATCAATACTTGAGAAATACTTCAGAGGGAATTATGTGTTCAGGCTGTTCACTCACAGCAATGAAACAGTACCAAGTTCTTGAATGATCATTACCACATTTAACTTAGGATGCATTGTAAAGCAGTTCTGCAGTCAACAGACAATCTCCATATGAATTAAGCTCACTGTAAGAATTGCTTTCTAACTTAAGAGATAGAGGCTTACCTCACATGCTTTCTCAAAGGTTATGTCATTTTTTGTGTCTGTTCTCTGATATTTAATCAGTTGTCAGTGTGCTATTGATCTGATTTAAGGGCTCAGCATTAACACAATTGGCAGTTAAATGTTTCTTGTTAAAGCATACGTTATCAGGAAGAAAGCCTGAATTAGTTGCCTTATAAATGACAGACTGAACAGATACTCAGTGCAATACCTCAGATACTGAATTGTGCAATACAGGAAGTGTGGTTACCTTTTCTGTTAAAGATGGAATATGCATATCAGCAAGCAGATACAAATCTGTGAACAGTGATCGTTATCATCTTTGAATATTCTCAGCATGCACGTTTTGAGAATTTGTTTCATAAATGTAATGGGAAATTAGTGCATGACGCTACGGTCTGAGATGTTTCAATAATTCATAAAACTTTTCTTATCTCTATTGCAGGCCAAAAATAGAGAACTGCTCAAACAGGTTGCAGCATTGTCAAAGGGTAAAAAGTTTGATAAAAGTGGGAGTATACTAACATCTCCTTGAGGAACTGGTTATTCGTGGGGTTTGCTACTCAGTGTAAATTTGAGTAATTCTGGGAAGCCCTTAAAATCCTGTGTAGTGGAAAAAATATTTTTGCACACCAGATTAGTTGGCATGTTTCCTACACATTTTTATAATTAATATGCAGCTTTTTTTAGTTACTGTTCAGATGAAATACTTCAACTGGCTTGAAGAATGTTTTTATTTTTTTGATATTGGAAACTTTTTGCCAGCAATAGTATTAAACAATTGCATAGAGAACATAGCAGTGCTCTCTCTAAAAGGACAACATGCAATAACAAACTAGGTGTACTTTTTACAAAGCAGCAACTGAGTCTTTTAAACTACACTGATGTCAGCCAAAAGTTTATGAATCTGCAGTGACACTGAACACTGGTTTCTGGCAACTGTTCTTTTACTTTGTATCAAAATATGAATTTGGAATGGAAATCATGGTGCTCTCAAGTGAAACTAAAAAAAGGCATATATGTATGTGTAAATACAACTGTAACGGTTATATTCTTAGTTATAACACGTAATTAGTGTTTTACATTCTTGTGATAGGGATTTACCGAAAGATTATCTATTGTACAGTAACAGAGGCAGTGTGGTTTTTGTAAGATTTACTGTAGATTTTTCTTGCAAGTGCCTTTCTCCAACTGTTTATTTATAGGAATGTTGGTATTTTGTACATAAGGTTTTTATGTTTTAAAATCATGTTTAATAAATGTTTTATGTAAATATAAATGTGTGTACAGAGGAATCTGAAACAAAGATCAAAGTGGCTAGTGCAGTGCTTGAAGCAGCATTAAGAGCTAGCTAATTGATGGACAGTGAGTATTGGCTTTAGATAACCTTTGTAGCTTGTGTCTGTGAGCTGTAGGATTTTGTTAGTGCTGCTCATGCCAAACACTTCCTGAACAAAACACAAAATGTTTCTGCCACACTGGAGTTTAGTGGTTTGTTTATGTATTTTTCCCATTTGGCACAGCGCTAATTTTAATTCCATAGCAGGCGTTGTACTCCCAATGTTACATCCGTAATTAGTGATATACACTCAAAGTTTTAAAAAAATTTATTGCCCATTGTCTGATTTAATGTACTTAGTTGTAACTTATGGTGATTCTTCTTCATGAATTGCAAGATTTCTATCCCCCAGTAAAGATACACAATGAGAAAAGAGTAGCCAAAACTAATGGTCTTGAAATTAATTAAGGAAGTGGATGTGGTGTCAAAGGGTGGGTTGTTTTAATGTTTTGGGTAGATTTTGTTTCTAAATTACATCAGTTTAATTTTAGCTCTGCTCCTGAAGGACATTAGTCATATTCAGAAATTTCTATTAAACATAATTTAGTACACCCCAAGGTCTCGGTTCAGGAAGGTGAGTTACGAATCTGCATAAAGTGAAGTAGACTTACATAAGTAAAGGTTTAGTTCAGCTCTGGGTACTGATTGGTAACAGGGTAACTGCCTATATTTCAGTAAGCTTAATTGTGTAGAATAAGCTACACACCTTTTAATTAAAGAACTAAAATCTAAAGTTCCTTGGCTGTCTGCCCATGTACTGAACTATGAACACCTTTTCAGTAGTTCAAACAAGTTCCAGCAGTGACAGACTGCTGAATAATTTGAAAAAAATCAAACTATCTTGTTTTGTATGGTATACGTGTATTTTTATACCCTAAAATCTACTTTGTAGGTTTATAAATGCTCTTTAAACTTGTTCAGCTAGGGTAGAGAATGCTGCTATCCTTTGGGGATGTTACCATTTTTTTTAATATACAAATTTATGACTTTCATTAATTCAGAGTTAGTATTTTGATAATGGGTTTTTTTCCAGTTAAATGGCGACCCATGTTTGGAAATGGCGACCCATGTTTGGTGAAATTGGTTTTAAAACACAGAAATGCATAGCAAATTGAAATGTTTGAATGAAGATCACTTAATGATACCTATTCAAGCTGCAGTAAGGACATTTTAAAGGAACAAACTGAAGTTCTATATTAGAAGCAATTGACTTTATAAATCCCAATCTGAAAAAAAAATTTTAGGGGCTTCAAAGTGTTTAGTTCCAGTTAAATACCTATGGGTTTTCTTCCATAATCTCATTTTTAACATGAATTTTTTGAAGTTGTGAACTAGCCAACTGAATCCCAGTCCTGAAAATAGTGTCCTGGAGCTGTAGATTATTGACATAATAAACTGATGTTCTTTAAACGTGGATCTGCGAGGAGATTGTTGTACTGTATTGTGCTTTTTAGCCTGTTTCCAGATGTTGATTAGCATTGACCAGTAATGGCCATTTTGGCTCAAGTTATTTATGTATTTTAAGCCTGTGAATATTGCGGCCCCCTTTTAGATAGTACGTCTAAATACGCGTTCTGCAGTGAAGCTATTCAGCTGTCCACATGTATAGACTATTGAAATACTGTACTGGCACACATCTGACCGTCAACATTTTGTACCTTTTCTAAATCCAATGTTTCACAATAAAATCTTGTCAAAACATTAATCTGTCCTTTGGAAATTATTCAGAAGTTCATATTTCATGGTAATCCTTCACGCTATGTCACTCACTAAAAGTCTATGGCCAAAAAAAGGCAGAATTTAATATTTGCATTTAGTAGTTAGATTTCTGGGAAGGCTGGACACCTTGGGCTGTCTACAAATTGTAACAAATTAGAGCTTCAGATTAATTTCTTTCCAGAAAATATTTTGGTTTTCTACAACAGGGTTATAATACAGAGAAATATTTTCTTGTAGAGAAGTAGAAAAAAACTTTAAGGTTTAACTGAAACCTAGTGACATTTAATAAAGCCTTCAACAGGCTTTTTATATTCTGATTAACATCAGCACTCTTGTTTAAAAGTACCTCAGTTTCAGTCTTAGCTATAAGGTTGTTCTTCCTTTACATACACTGTGTACAAGTTAGGTGATTCAGAGATTCAAAGTGATATTGATCATTTCTATGTCCGTTCCCTTCCTCGTGTCAGGAGGAGTTAGGCGCCCGCACCAACGTGCTGTTGGTCACGGTGGCTCCTAGTGTTTAGAGCACTTGTGCTGCAATTCGTAGATCTCATTTTATATTTTTCTCAGCAGTCAATCTTCATCTTCCCACAATCCAGCAGAATACTTCTCATTTAAAAATTAAAGTTCAGAATGAAGAAAGAAAAAAAAAAAAACCCAAAACCAAAAAACGCAAACAAAACCCAAACCAAGAAGAGAGTAAGATTCTGTAGCTTTCTGGTCAAGGTAATTATCTAGAAAGGGGGAATCTTTGAGTTTCGGAGCCCCGCTCTTACAACAGTGTATACTTTATATTAGCTATAGTAATGAATAATATGCTATTCTAATATTGAATTGTTCTTAGCCTCATTTTAGTGCAAATTTGCATTGGCTTTGTTGAAGCCATTTATTTTTAAAGCTGAAAGCAAGTCAAAACCACGTGTGGTACCTAGTTTAGATACAGCTTCCATGTGACACATGTAAAACGTGGGTAACTGGCCGTGAAACAGATGGACTCCCTGAAAGAGATTTACATCATTTGAAGCAAATTTCCTTAAAGAAGACTTAAATTGATATAACCTGTGTACAGGCACTTAGGCAGTTCTTAATGGTCTTCAGTAGCTTCAGAAGCTCTGAACCCACACGGATTTTTTTGAAAATGCTGAAGTTTATGATTGCGAACTATAATCTTAACTAAGCCTTTAAGATGGAGTAAAAGCTGTTCATGTCATTTTTGTTACTTCAGATGAGTTACTAAAACATGAGTTCAGTTGAAAATACTGCAATAGAAGATACATTTTCTCATATATTATGTGCAATTCCTTTAGCTTTCCTCATGGAAAAGGTATTGATATACATCGAATCCCACAGAAGAAGTAGGGGAAATCAGGCAAGAGGATTATTGAGGTGGAAAGAGGAGATTTTTGAGGTGCTCCTGGGGAAAGAAGGAGGCTAATCGAGGTGTAAGGGCTAACGGGGAAGAGAAACCTCTGAGATACCATGTTGCGCATTTAAGTGATGTACAGAATCCCATGGTTGGGTTTTTTTCAAGACACGTTATCTGTGTGTGTTCAAAGATGGCAACTCTCTAGGGTAAAATGCAGCATTGCTTAAGGGAGTTTTTGTTTGTTTTTCTTTTACTGATACTAGAGTCCAAATTTGAGAAATGAACAGAATAAACAGCTTGATTAAATTGAAATATAAAGATGTACAATATAAAATCCATTTTATAAGCAGCTAGTCATGCTGTTTAGGCCTAGAAAAAATAGGTAAAACTGTAACAGAGTACTGTATACCATTGCCACAGCTGGGTAATGGTGCAAGTTTCAACATATGACTTGAACTTTCTGTCTGTTCTCACACACTAGACAGAAATTGTCCTTGAAGATAGGTCACTCACCAGCATGTGAATCATTGACATCTTCCCTTGCTTTAACCCAAACACAAAACAAGTCTGGATTTGCCTGTTTACCTTTACAATGTTCATTGTAGTATGCTGGCACTGTTCTAACTGACCTTCGGCAATTTCTCCACAGTGTCTCTCCTGGTGGGTGAAGGCAATTTTGCATTTTGACTGAAGGGTGTTTAAGTACCACGGACGCCGATGTGCTAAACAAGCCAGGTGAAAGTACAGATTTGTTTGTAGAGTGTAGATTTTCCTTCTGCTAAGGCTTTCTGACTCTTGCAGTACTTGGACAAATTCATTTATTTTCAATTGTCAATTGGAAAATAGGCATTCCAGCTTCTGAAGAATTTTAAAGGCTGAAGATAAACCTGCATCATCTTTGCACACAAAAGGCCAGTCTTAGAGGCATAAGCAGAAGACTGCTTTTATAGTTTTGATTGCAGAGGGCTTGTGGACAAACAAAAATAAATTGGACCAACAAATAGGTCAGAGTTGCTTTGGACCACGGTGATCTTCTTACAGGTTGGGTCACAGGAATGTGATGTATTCCTACCATGGCTTCTGCAGGTATTGGAATTTGCAGCCTAAGTTGATTTTTACCTCCAGTTGTAACCCCCTCCTTTTTTAGTAAGTTATAGCAATTTATTTTGAAGTGAATGCTGAAAACCTGAAGATGTTTTCCCTTATTTGAATCAACAGATAAATGTGGTTTGCTTTATTTCAATAAAAGATGTAGTGCATTCACAATTTATCCTTCGTCAGGTACATCAACTCATTCCTCTTCATTTTATGGAAATCTTGAAGGTCAGTTGTCTTTATAAATGTTCCTTGAGAAACTTTTTAAACTTTCTTAGACAACTCTCTGCATAGTGGTTTACTTTTTGCAGAATCACGTGTGTTAATTTCCCCTTACATTTGTATGCTCAAAATTCCACTGCAGCATGAATGATAGAATTCTTTCCTGGAGTGTTTTTGTCCAGCTGTGGTCTGCTCTTGAAAATATTTTGTGACTATGTTGATTAGAATTCAACTTCTAAAAATTTATTATTAACTAATAACAATGTATTGAACCAATTTACTAACAGAAAAGTGTCTTTTTCAGATAGAGATTATTCGTTTTGTTGGATGTGAATGTAAAGTGAGGTATTTTCCTTCATTTAAGGAGGAGAACTGTACCACTTAAATTAGTGTGTTTACAGGTATGATGTATTAGAACATAAAAAACCTTCCAAAAAGGGGAAGAGTTGTAAGGCTGTATTTGCTAGCATAACTTAAATCACTGCTGAAAGGTTGATACGTTAATCTACCTGACCACACTGAAGCAGTCTAG